TACCTAGTCTAAAATTTTAAGGGCTTGAAATTTGAATTTGGCTATTTAACTAACCATTTATCACGAATCCTTTAACTAAGAACAGATTGTTAAATCTCACTATAGATTGGGCGAGTTATACCCTAGTGATTTTACAGGTATTATCTGGCCCGGAGCTTCGGACGAGATGAAGACTAGTATTTTTAAAAGTTATTAACTGGTCCGCGGACCAGATTTTCGGTGGGCCAGATAATACCTAACCCATCTCACCAAGGGGGGCGGGGGGGTTGAAAAATGGCCAAAATTGTCTCACGTAATTTATGGACGCCCCCAAGGTTAAATGTAGAGAAAGGCAATGAGGGCTATCGTTTTTATACTTAACAGTTGGCACCCATGGCGATTGACAGGACCTTACTCTACAGTGGCGCCATCTTGATGAGTGCAAATGCGATAGTCCTCCTACCACTTTCGCGCTCACCAGTTGGCGCCACTGTCTTCGCTACTAGCAAGTGACAGGACCTTACTCTACAGTGGCGCTAGCTGGTGAGCGCTAAAACGATAGCCCTCATTAGAAGAGAGGAGGCCATTTTGAATTTGCCGAAAAAACAAAATTGATAAATATGGCGCTACACTTTTCCGCCAAATAGTCCTACAAAACAAAATATTCCAGGTTCTCACTGTTAAAGTTACAAACAGATTATTAGACGACAGCATTATTTATGGCGCAAATAAAACTTTATATTTTATTATAGTCTCAAATTCCGAACACGAGCAGGCATCTTTTGTTTTTTATTTAATAGGCTTGTATTTTTTAGGCCACATACCTAATTGGAATATGATACCTACACTTGTATTAAATTACTACATTTAGGTAATTAATAAAAATAAACTCATTTCTGTTAATTTTTATGTATTGGTTTATTTAACTGAGTACAATTAATACGAAAGGAAAATTTAGGGTAGACAGGCCTCTGGCGCCAAAATCTTCGGGGCGGCCTTTTTCTAGCAATGGACGACGAAAAAAAATCACATTTTTATACACCAACTTGTCAAAGTCAAAATTTCTTTAGTTGCAAATTAATTTATATAGTGCTTACTTACAAATCGTCAAAATAAAATACTAATAAAAACAAGATTTGCAAATTATAAATAACTTGAAACTCAGTCACCTTCACCACTGTCTGCCGGTTGAAATAAATAAAAAGAAATAGCAGTAGTAGGTACATTATTGATTCAGGAGCAATTCTCTGAATTTACCCCGCATTCTTTATAGCGTATCTTGCTCTACATTTCGTTCTCCTCAAAATATTTGCCTTTGATTTGGTCCTCTCATGACAGAGCCCAATGTATGGCTGCTAACATTTTTCGAAGCTATGCCAAGGTCACGGTGATTAGCACCAACTCCTGAGGAGTCAACAATGGGACAGTGGAATTGGATGCAGTAGGTCCTATCGTATGTAGTCCTAATAGATGCGGTTTTGCAATAAATTGTAGAGTTTGAGGCCGTCGCTACGCTGCGCTTATAAAGCAGGAAGGCGCTGGATGCAGGCTGCTACCAACCGATCAATATGGAAATCATCGGGGCAGGCCTTTGTTTAGCAGTAGACGTTCTGTGGCTGAAATGATGATGATGATGTAGTCTGATATGCTGTTGACTGTATTAGTTGTAGTAAATTTTAACCATAGGTACACTGCCCTCCTTATTAAATCCTTGACGATCACAAGTATACCCGTGTCTTCATTTTTAACTGCTTGTTTACATAGTAAAAAGAAAAATAGGTGTTGATTGGACAAACTTAGTTGGGGGCTCATTCGACTACAAAAGGGCTGTTGAGGAAGGGGCTTTTCATCCAAATAGGGTAATTGCAAAATGTTTTTTAGTATTTTGAGCAGACGGGACACCACTCTATCCCGGGCCCTTGTAGCCGGGCCCCGTATTATTGATACGACTGCACGAAAAACATTATCTGCTGCATTATACATAGTTGTTGTAATTCACGAAGGCGAGTGAACTTACATGTGTGGTGGCTCGCTACTGTTCGTTTTTCAAAAGTTTTGATAGACATTAAACACATATACACACACAAGTAAAGCTCACTCGCCTTCGTGAGTTGCAAGAATCATACCTACTGTGCCCTATGTCTATTGTGACCGCGGGGAATCAACACTGCTATCAGTCTTAGATTCCTTCTGCATTACGTTACTATCATAACGTGTGAATATTTTTAGTCACATTCTTTAACTACGTTGTCGTTATGTGTAGATTATGGTGACTAGTAGTGTAAACTTTAATATGTATTTACATTGTACCTACTTACAAAAAATATTTACAACCCTTCATTTGGCAAGACTTTAAAAGTACTTATTAATATGAAGTAATCGCGAAAATATAGTGTTCCTAGGTGATAAAATAAAATGTAAAAAATATTAAAAAAAAAGTTCATTGAAGGAATTCCTGAAAACAGTACGTTAAGTATACTCAACAAAAAACAATGTTCATAAAAAGAAGGCAACATTTGAACGTTAAGTATGCTTAACAAATATTACACCTCAATAAAGGAAAATAATACAAGTTATATAGAATTTATCACAATTTATTATTAAAATATGAAAAAGTTTACATCACTTAAACCCTACTATGGTGGTAATTGAAATGACAATTTCTTCCTTTGACAAAACACAGCCGGACATTACATTTCAGGCAGTAAACAGTTGTAAACCCCTTTTTGCAAAAAGCACATCGACCATATTCCTGTCCATGTTCAGGGAAATGATCTATAGAATCAAATCTTACGTCATCTATGGGCCTGGTGCGTTTAGGTGACACTGCACAACAAAATTGCAACTTTTGGCTGATGATTGACTTTCATTACATGATGTAAAGTGTAAAGTAAATTGTAAAGTGCCCCATAAGGGCTACCTTTTTCTTTTTTTATTATTTTCTATTGACGTTCATAAGTGCCACTTGTGGTCTAAACTGAATAAATATTTTTGATTTTGATTTTTTGATTTTGATGTCTACTAATTTGACGTCGCTGATTTTGAATCTGCCGTCCATTTTTTCGTAGCAGCTCTTGTTTACATGTTATAGCTTTCATTCAAAAATTGCTAAATTTCAGTCTTAATTCGCCGACAGTTCAAAAAATACTATGTTTTCTTTGTATAATTTAATATGGTAGCATTAAAAAGTGTGTGTGTGAATGATCTAAATCAATTTTGTTTCTGTTGCGGAGAGGATATGTTTAAATAATCCGTTTAAATGTGACAAAGTTCGTAAAATTGGCTTACAAAAATTAGTTTGGGGACCCAGTGGAAATGAAAGATAAGCCGTGAATTCCGCAAAAGGCGTGGAAAAGATGCGTTGAGTTTTTACGTTTATAAACAAATAATATTATGTGTAGATTTAGGTACGAAACCGCTATGATCTGAAAGGAACCCTTGAACCATCGCGACGACTGTTATTTTTATTTTTGAACCAAAATGGTATTAACCAAAAAATATTGAACTAAATGGTAATTCCTTGCATACGTTTGACATGCAGACGTCTTTTCAACCCTAAGAAGTCACCTGAACCTCATGTTGATACTTCACATGAGGATTTTGAGGCGAAAACTGTCAGTGTGGTAGAGACTTTGAATGTGACCCGAAATTTTCAAAACCATGTAGCCAAGATGGTTTAAACGATCGTTTTAGAGATTTAGGATCTTCAAGTCTTCCGAAAAGACATAGATGAGTTATTTTGGCATTTTAATATTTTTTTTTGGAAATTCCGAAAAAATCTTACTATTCTTACACATCGAACAACGTATGAGTCACTTATAAACATGTTTTTTTGGTTGGATGTAATATAAACATCGAATCACACTCTCTTCGCAATCACCTGAACAATTTTATCACAACTCTTAAGGATCTAAGTGAAGAACATGGCGAGCAAATCCACCAGGGCCTTCGTACGATAGAGGGACGCTATCAGGGTCACTGGAATGCACACATGATGGCTGACTGCTGTTGAATCATTCAGAAGAGCTGTCTGCCTTCAGCATCAGCAAAGAAGTCAAATAAAAGAAAGATTTTTCAACTTAACAACTTCATAAAATAGGATCATCTCTAAAAAAAGAGTGTTTTTTTACAAAAAGACCCAAGTGTCATATTTTTTTAACCAGAGCTGATACAGATATTTCAATCACAGATTTGAAATCGTCATTAAAAATTGGACTAATATCATGTAACATAACTCAATCATCAGAAATGCTGTTGTGCAGTGTGATNTGGCACCATTTTAAAGATTAAACTTTTATCTTTAAATTGATACCAAATTCGTTTAAATCACACTAGTATTTAAAAAGATATCCCGGCTGATGTGACGAAGTAACGAAAAAGACATGTATGAACTGTTTGATACGTCGCGAGTTGCGGCCTATTTACCCCCTATAAAAGCACGCGTTTTCGGATTTTTGCTTTCACACGTTGATTCATACACATCTCCGCTTCTTTTGACTCTTTACCTGGGATTCTACACCTTCAGAAGCAGCACAAATCGTTGCACTATTGCAAGAAGGGCTCAGCCAGCGGGCTGTCGCACGTCAGCGCCACATAAGCCAGTCCTGGGTTTCGAAAGTTTTAAGACGCTTTCGGGAGACTGGTGGCTTTATCCCGAGACCAAGTTATGAACAGCGCCGGCGTACATCGCAGAGGGAAGACCGTTTTTTCATGTCAACCTCTCTATGAAATCGTCATTTGACTGGAATCGGCGTCCAGTAAGAGCTCAGTAGGATAGCTGTTAGCGCCCTTCATTTGGCAAGACTCTAAAAGTATTAATATGAAGTAATCGCGAAAATATAGTGTTCCTAGGTGATAAAATAAAATGTAAAAAATATTTAAAAAAAAGTTCATTGAAGGAATTCCTGAAAACAGTACGTTAAGTATACTCAACAAAAAACAATGTTCATAAAAAGATGGCAACATTTGAACGTTAAGTATGCTTAACAAATATTACACCTCAATAAAGGAAAATAATACAAGTTATATAGAATTTATCACAATTTATTATTAAAATATGAAAAAGTTTACATCACTTAAACCCTATTATGGTGGTAATTGAAATGTCAATTTCTTCCTTTGACAAAACACAGCCGGGCATTACATTTCAGGCAGTAAACAGTTGTAAACCCCTTTTTGCAAAAAGCACATCGACCATATTCCTGTCCATGTTCAGGGAAATGATCTATAGAATCAAATCTTACGTCATCTATGGGCCTGGTGCGTTTAGGATTTTTAATCTTTTCTTCTTCTTTTAAGCCTGGAACACTGAATACTTCTACATTATTTCCTTTATACAGCAATGCCTTGTAAATTTCAAGTCTGAAGTGCTTTAGAGGTTAGTATTTTTTATTACCTATTCGGCTTTGNCAAGTCTGAAGTGCTTTAGAGGTTTGTATTTTTTATTACCTTTTCGGCTTTGATCACGGCGGTAACACAACCAGGCATTATTTACACAGATGTCCAATAACTGGGAAAATATAGACAAGTACCAGCGCCTGCTCTTTATCTCTGTGCGGTACAGGGCAATTAGCATGTCCGCTAAATCCACGCCACCCATGTGTGCATTGTAATGTTTTACAATTTTAGGGTAGTCTACATCAATCCTTGTCTTCTTGACTTTACAATATCTTTTTACTTTAGTTGTTGGATAGGCATCAGTATAACTTGAAGCTAGAGTTACACATTTATTGTCATTCCACTTCACCAGCGAAAGCTTTGTTTTATTGCATACAGTTTGACTGAATGCTCCTCTACCTTTTTTTTTAAGATCTTTATCAGATTTTAGTTTATTTGCAGCATTTCTGAGCCGGTTTGCACGCATCGTGCCAAGACTAAAAATTCCCAGAGACTCCCGAAGGTAATGTATCAACTCTAACGAAGAGAAAAAATTATCAAAGTAGACAATACATGGCTTCTTCTTTATAGATTTACAGAGTCTTAATACTGCTTTCGCACCCCATCCCAAGCCTTCTTCTTCTTCAGTAAAAACGCAATTTTCAAAAGTATCATTACCAGCATATAAAAAAAAATCATATATAATACCTGATGCGCCAGCCCGTACCAAGTTTTTAAACCCCCATTTTCTTGGTTTACGTGGATTGTATTGCCGCCTTTTGCCGGCTTTTGTGCCTTTGTACGGAATTACCATCTCGTCGATACTAAATCTTGACTCCTCCTCTAATTTGAGACAATTTTTTCTGATTTCTTCCGAGAACGGCCTTATTTTGAAGTAAGGGTCAGAATCCATTTTGGTATTATCCACAAAATGTAGATATCGCCTAATGCTTTGGTATCGCTTCAGAGACATGATATCTGCTACCAAAGGAAATCGTGTATCAGCTCGCCAATAGTCTAGGTAGGACGGCATGGACACAATACCCATTATCACTTTAATAGCTATGAAATTACGTAATTCTGCTTCTGTTAGATTCAAAGGTCGTCCTGTTGTTTGCATAGAGTACATATTTGTATATTGGCAAATATCTCGAATCATCTCTTCAGAAAAAAAGTCCGTAAAATAGTCAAATGCATTCTTATTATCGGGTATAGGGTTTTCGAAAACATCAGGATCCAATTCAGCACAATGCTTGAAGCGTCCACTAGACCATTGAAATTCGAGTTCCGTTTTCTTTTTTCGATTCACGGGACGTGGTCTGTTAGTTGCAGACTGTCGTTGACGTTCCGCTCTCGTGTTACGGCTTGATTGTGGAGTTGAAGCGACAAGTGGTGATTGCAGGGGGGAGTCTGACATATGGTCGAGTATATATGAAGTTGTTATTGAAGGTATGTTTGACATCGGTGTCAAAGGAGGGCATGAACTTATGGATGGTAGGGTGAAATCAAAGGTAGGTTCAGTATTGATGTCGTCTACATTACCATTATTAGCCAGAATTGAAGGAGACGGGGTACAGCTTCGGTGTTGATCAGCATCAGAATCAGAATTCAGAATATTAAGCCGTTCCAATGAAGAGTCAAGTGAAGGTGGTTCGGAAGACTCTGGGTCCCCAAATTGAACATTAGCCAATTCGTCTTCATTCTCGGAGTTTGATTCCCCACTAACATCAGAAGGAGCGTTTTCTTCNCGGCTTTGATCACGGCGGTAACACAACCAGTAGGCCTAAGATGCGCGCTGTGATAACTTTTATCGACGTCAAAATGTATGGGCAAAATCGATAAAATGGCGTGATAACCGCTTATCGCGATGCGCATGTTAGGCCTACAGGCATTATTTACACAGATATCGAGTAACTGGGAAAATATGGACAAGTACCAGCGCCTGCTCTTTATTTCTGTTCGGTACAGGGCAATTAGCATGTCCGCTAAATCCACGCCACAATGAAGCGACAAGTGGAGATTGCAGGGGGGAGTCTGACATATGGTCGAGTATATATGAAGTTGTTATTGAAGGTATGTTTGACATCGGTGTCAAAAGAGGGCATGAACTTATGGATGGTAGGGTGAAATCAAAGGTATGTTCAGTATTGATGTCGTCTACATTACCATTATTAGCCAGAATTGAAGGAGACGGGGTACAGCTTCGGTGTTGATCAGCATCAGAATCAGAATTCAGAATATTAAGCCGTTCCAAGGAAGAGTCAAGTGAAGGTGGTTCGGAAGACTCTGGGTCCCCAAATTGAACATTAGCCAATTCGTCTTCATTCTCGGAGTTTGATTCCCCACTAACATCAGAAGGAGCGTTTTCTTCGGGAATCAGCGCTAAAATTCGTCTTGATCTTGAATTCTGAAAAAAATACATTACTATTCAGCCAAACATGCATAAAGGTAAAAAAATCCACACCGACATAAAATAGTAACAGCCAAATAAAAAAATTCAAAATCAAAAATATTTATACAGTTTACACCACAAGTGGCACTTATGAATGAAGGGTTAATATCAAAATGCAAATGAAGGGTTAATATCAAAATGCAAATGAAGGGTTAATATCAAAATGCAAACGTGGAGTTGTTAATTAATAAATTAAAAAAGTGTCTTGCGTATCTATGTAATAAAAAACAGCCATGCCTATCTATTTTGCAAAAAACATTTCAAAAACATATTATTTCCATAAACCCACACCATGCGAAATTGTTGACTATGCTCAACATTAACCAACCACATTAAATTGTCAAGCATAATATTTTGTTGAGTATACTTAACATTCATGTTTACAGACCTGTAGTGTTTATTTCCGAATTAGTCGTTGCTTGAAAATAACATAATTGTAATGTTTATAAGTCATATAAATAGGAATAAACGAAATTATTTGATAATTACATACGAAACATAGTAAAATAATAATATTTACCTGAGCAGTCCGCAGAGCAAATCTTCTAGTCGCCATTTTGGCTCACTAATGTCAAAGTTAGAGTTGCCAGCCACTAAAAATATTTTTTTCTACCATTATGGCATGTAAATAATACGTTTCAAAACCAAATTATAGGCATGACACCCATAGATAAATTATGACATTGTGTCAAAGTAAGTGTTGAGGATACTTAACGAAATTAAATTAAGGGATAAGAAATACCTAGTAAAGAAACACTGAAAGAATCAAGTGAAAGATGTTTTGCGGGATCCTGCATTACCGGATACTTAACGCAAAACGTTTAGGATCATCATCATCATCATCATTTCAGCCATAGGATGTCCACTTCTGAACATAAGTAAGCCTCCCCCAATGATTTACATGTATGTTGATCAATTGGTAGCGACCTGCGTCCAGCGCCTTCCTGCTACCATTATGATGGTTGTCGGTCCACCTTGTGGGTGGACGTCCCACGCTGCGTTTTCCGGTACGCGGCCTCTACTCCAGAAGAAGTTTGGGATGCCCTGGACTATTTCAGTGGCATAGCGTGCTTAGACGGGCCCTGTGTCAACATTTGGTGGGGGCCCCGTCTAAAAAAGGTCACTAGAGCAAGGGGCCTTTTTCTAAAAAACGCAGGCAGGCAGTAGTACTGTCCAGGAGGCCTCTGTAGCCCGAGGATCCCGTATCATTGATACGGCTGATGCGGCGGTAGACGCCCCTGACTGTAAAAAACCCTGGGGGATGTCCAAAAATGGGCTGCCATGGCTTCTTCTGCTTGTCGTGTCGACAACAAACCTACACAGCGTCAATTAAATCTTCATGCGTGCAGTTATTTGGGAATTTATTATGGCTGAAATGGGTAAATTCAGCCTACAGGGCCAGCAGACGTTGACACACCACCCAAATATTTTCTCCGCACGTTTTAAAGAATTTTTCGCCGTATTACACGCTGCTATTGGCTGATTGGTCACGGGGAGGTACCTACTCGTAGCATGACGGAGACAATAATGTGTCGGCAGTAGGGCTGGCGATGATTAGACACACAGAATAAAATCACAAATTAACAATATAAGATTTTTTTTTATTAATTTAGACCAAGATTTCACACTGAACGCAAAAAAAAGGTAGCCCTTAAGGCCTTTTTACTGATCTCCATATCTTTTGGGCCCTGCCAGCACTTGGAGATAAACATTATGGCAAGTGCAGAAAAGAAACGCGGACCAAACTCATATTAGTACCTATTTGGCCGATAAAATTATAAATAAGTAAGGCGATGTAAGATTTGATTGGTATGATTTTTTAGAGATCCACATCCAAAGGGTGTCAGTCAGATAGAAGGAAGAGTCCTACATCCATTGGATATTCAACTCAATGTATTATAATATTTATTCCAGTCGAATAAAAAATAGTATCATTTAGTTCCGTTTGAAGTAAGGATGTTACTAAATGACCTAATGGTTATAACGAAAGGCCTAAGGTCCTGTAAGTGGCAACCCTACAACGCCTCGGCAGTTTTGTTGACGCTACAAAACTTTTCTGTTTGTTCAGGTGACAACGACATGATGTTATGGGAATATTCTACTGATAATACCCAATAAATATGAAACGGTACTGTATCTATGACCTACCATTTAAATATATTATTCGCTTACGCCCGTATTCACAAACATTACTTTAAGGTGCAGTACTAGTGCGCGTGAACGCACAGGGTGACACACGAACCAATCACAGAGGCTCTATTCAACGCCGTGCGTTCGATTTGCTGCTTCATTTAAGCAAGCATCGTTTGTGAATACGGGTGTAAGACTCTACTATTTCTATTTTCAACCGACTTCAAAAAAAGGAGGAGGTTCTCAATTCGACCCGTATGTTTTTTTTTTTTTTTTTTTCTATGTTTGTTACGCGATAACTCCGCCAATTATGAACCGATTTGAACAAATCTTTTTTCAGCGTATAGGTAATACCTCAAGGGTGGTCCCATTTAAATTTAATAATAGAAAAAAAACCCCCAAGGGTGGAAAATTGGGGATGAACTTTTTTATACGCAATATCTCCGCCGATTATGAACCAATTAGAACGATTACTTTTTTGTTGAATAGGTATTATCAAAAGGGTGGTTTCATGCGAATTTGAAGAAAATATTTCACCCCCAAGGGTGGAAAATTGGGGATGAACTTTTTTATAATATACATTAAGAATATGGTCTCAATGTACTGCCTACCTTCAGTGGTAACATCAAGGTGATAATTAGTTAACTAAAAAGCAAGAAATAAGTTAAATTTTATAAAAAAAAATAAAACCGACTCCAAAAAACCTACACTAAAAAGCAGAATAATAATTACTAATTACCTACTTATTTATTAGGACGAATTATTAATATTTATGTAGGTATACCATGATTGATACTTTTGGAGTCGGTGCAGGCAAACTTTACATGTTTCATAATCTTGGCACCGACTCCAGAAGTATCAATCATGGTATACCTACATAAATATTAATAATTCGTCCTAATAAATAAGTAGGTAATTAGTAATTATTATTCTACTTTTTAGTGTAGGTTTTTTGGAGTCGGTTTTATTTTTTTTTATAAAATTTAACTTATTTCTTGCTTTTTAGTTAACTAATTATCACAATTATTAGAATACTAGCTTTTCGCCCGCGGCTTCGCCTGCCTGGATTTTTATCTGTCACAGAAAAACTTTATCGCGCGCGTCCCTGTTTCAAATACCGGGATAAAAACTATCCTATGTCCCTTTCCGGGACTCAAACTATCTCTATGCCAAATTTCATCAAAATCGGTTCGGTGGTTTAAGCGTGAAAGCAAGACAGAGTTACTTTCGCATTTATAATATTAGTATAGATTACTTCAGTTGGGAATCAAACCCAACACGACCTTTCGCTTCCTTCTTGTGAGATCGGCTTTCCCAATCATGCGCCGCCATTTCATTCTAAAGTATCTTGAAAGTCTTGTTCGAAGAGTCATAATACTTTCATATCCTTTTGGACATTTGTGTTCCAGGTGGTTTGAGGTCTTCCTCTTCCCCTTTTTTGTGGCGACGGATAGACACTTTTTAATCACGAATCTTTCGCTTCCGAAGGGAATTTATTTTAATTTTAAGGGAATTATCCAAATTGGAATTCAACTTTTATGACCACTTACTCTAATTTCTGTTTAGCCCCAAGTTTAACTAGAGGAGAATGCTCACAAGGTGGACTGATGACCTCATAAAAGTAGTGGGAAGGCGCTGGATGCAGGCCGCCACCAACCGGCCATTGTGGAAATCATTGGGGGAGGCCTATGTTCAGCAATGGACGTCTTATGGCTGAAATGATGATGATGATGATGATTTTGCAAAAAAAACCTGGATTAGCTTTATCTGCCAACTATGCCTTAATCCTATAGTGCAAAGGTTAATGTCCAAATCCAACAATAATGGCAACGGAGCATTTTCATTATCAGACACATCAAAGATGAGTTTAAATAATCCAATAATGTCTTTATATCGGTTTGAAATGCCTACATAAATCACAGATGGCTAAATTTAACTTAACATAGACCATTTTACCAAATAGACACCAATTTCAAAAACTGTATCTATATTTTTCTTACTATTTTTATCCCATTCTTTGCATTGCAACGCCTTCACGCGGTGCGACACACATGTTTTCTGTCATAAATGACATGCAGTAAATAATTTGAATTTGAATTTACCCACAATCGGGAGCTCTTGGCCTGCAAGTAGGTAAATAATGGCTCTATTCATCATCATCATAATCAGCCACAGGACGTCCACTGCTAAACAAGGCCTCCCCCAATGATTCATATTGACCAGTTGGTAGCGGCCTCCATGCAGCTCCTTCCTGCTACCTCCATGAGTTCGTCAGCGATTCAAAATAATGTAAATAATGCGACTTCCATAGCAGTAAGTGGTCTTCAACCAACGGCTGATTGATTTACAATTTTAACTCAAGTCAATAAAGTTCTAAATTGTTTGAGAGGCTAGTAACTACTGACCTAATGACGTAATCATGGGTTTTAAAGTGATTGATTATCGCCACTTAAACGCATTATGGTGAATGGAAGCCGATGTATGGGTTGCATTAAAAGTGCATTTATTTATATTTAGTTAATGAATTTGTGGCTTCAGTAAACTGACACTTATTGAAATATGGCAGAAAAAAAATGGCTGACTTAATATTTGACTTCGTGACTCTTGTTTGGCTAAAAAAAAACAAATAATAAAAAACAACAGTGTTTTGTATTTTTAAACTAAATTAAGATCAATTTTTCTTCGCTTTTGTTATTTATTTAGCATATCACGAGAGGTTAACAGAATAAGTAATTTGTGAATAATTACTCATATTATTATTTTTTAAACAAATAAATAAAAAAACAATGTCCATACCAGAACTCTATCAACTTTATAAAATACTGTCATAATTCATAATTTATTACATAATACGATAAAAGTAATAATAATTAACGTAATTTACGTCTAGCCGATTTGCGATACCGTATCATAAGCTATGGATATAAGTAGCTATTTAATTGTTAATAATATACTTACGTCATAATAATAGTAATAAGATTATGATAATAATCAAAACTGTCAAAAATAATAGAAGTAGAGTTTGATTATGTTATTATGAATTGCTAGATTTGTTATTTAGATATTTTATGATAAATACATTATTACATGTAATAGGTATAAGTTACTATACACAAGCCTATAAGCAAAAAGTTACTTGCCTATTGTAGGTACATAGAGCTTTGACTTTGTAAGTAACCCTCTCTAAGAGCTTTAGGTTTTTAATACAACGAAAAAAAATATTCATTAAGTTAAATTGAACTTCCATTTTGAGATTATTTTACTGACTAACGTTGTTATATAAAAATCTTTTATCCTCATAACACAATAATTATGTATTAAAAATACTCAAATAATAAAACATATTTTTTATCGAACAACAGTGCAAGTGACTCAAGATCCATCCCAAAACTTAATTTAATAAACTTACGTAATTTTGTTGATAAAATCTTTTTAATCCGCTTGACATCGCCAAAAGGCCGGCCAAGGAAAGTCATGAGACATTGAAAGAACAAAATTAATCCACTCACGTACTAAATCTTATCTTATAATAATTATGAAGTAGCGAATACAGTAGGTCTATAAACAATTAGCGACCGCCCGCGACTTCG